TTCCGTGCATTGGGTTGGCTCGGCGGTTGTCGAATATTATCGTGTACTTGAGTCTGATGATACCTAAGAGTGCAAAAAATCTTTGTGTACGAGGCCACAGAAATAATCATGCAAAGTGGTATTAATATGCCGGTGCTCAAATACAGTATTTGGTGATCAAATATGGTGTATAAGCAGGCTGCGACAAGAGAAAAAATCCAAAAGGTAGCCACAATTATACATGTGCGCTTAAAAATTACAATTTGTCTTTATGTCAGCCTCAACAACAGAGCGAGAAGTCTATCCACGCTTATGGCCACTGTCGTCAGCGAAGAAAACCCACATAATGCTATGCTTGATATGTAGGCTGCGGTATTTGCGTATTGACAAATAACCCAGTGTTCGTGAACCAAGGATATCACAAAAATAGCATTGAGAGGCTGGATAACAAGACCAGCAAACAGATCACTGAGTTTTTGCCAGACAACAATACAAGAGTTTGGAGGGTCGATGAAGGGAAGATTCCTTGTGAAGGGCAACGAGGATGAGAGAATTTTCAAGAAACGCTGTGATGGAGAGGAGAATGTTAACTGCTGCGAAAGAAACCAATGTTGGTTGAGACCCACTCACTCACTGAAGAGCTCGAGGAGGAGCATATTAGGCGTTCAAATGCTTCCGTTTGTGTTCCACCTTTTGAATAATTTGTAGTAGACATTATAGTTTCGTTTTCTTTTTCTTGCTGGTTATCTGTGATTACAAAGAGAAATATTTTAATTTCACGGCACACACAGCCTCGATTGCTGAAACTGCACTTCCTTTACACTAATCACAAAAGACCACCTGTTCCTCATATAGAATGTGTCCGTAAACTGTCTATCACGGTTATGCCCCACGTATAAAGTAGCTAATTTGACGTATTTGGAGATTGTTTTGAATCAAATTTTCTATTAGACCAAGTAAAGTCGCCATCCTGAACTTTTTATTTTCAGGAGTTTTTCATGACTGATAATTATTCAAGTCTTAACTTCGCACAGAAAATATGGACGCTTGATTTCCACACTATCAACAAAAATTCATTTAGGTAGAGCGGGATTATTTTGGCCCTTCGAAATAACGATACCACAGATGTCTCTCTAATTGCTTCTTATTGCCGCTTCATACCTGAGCCACCTGACGTGTTTGAGGGAAATATCGCTTTTTTGACACATTAGCGAATGTAGCAGTTTATGTGATAGAAATATATAACATAAAATTCCGACAAAAATGGATTGTTCTCAAAGAAACCTCTGTAACAACCGGTGAAGATCTATATGAATTCACTTCCTTAGGTATACTCAGTTATCAGATGCAAGTGACAAAACATCTTAGAATATTCATAAACATTATGTTTAAAAGAAAAAACGGTGCTGCATTAAAAAATGTTGTCGGCTCTTTATAATATGTAATATGTATGTTGAAGTTGCCTCTAAATTTTATGTCAACCACTTCCTAGCGATTAGCCGTTTCTAATTTTCGCTCCTTCTTTTCTTATAACTCTTTTGCAGCAAATCTTTTCAATTATGCTTTATTCTTAACGGTAATTTTGCAGAAATTATATTATTCATATCTCTCAAATTTGTTGCTCTATGACTCTAATTATTGGAAGATTTCTGTGATTATACTCGGATGGTTATCAAATTATAGATACCTGATGATCCTTCTTCTCCTTAATTTTGATCGTTCTCTATGTTTTATGTGATCGTTCTCTATGTTTGATCTCTATGTTCTCTATTTGATCGTTCTCTATGTTTTATGTGGTTAGAGCATCCGACTAGATCACGGAGGGTCGTGGGTTCAAGTCCCATCTGGGGCGCGGATTTTTTCTATTACACTAAAAATTGTTTCATCTCTATGTTTTGTCATCAAAAATGATGAGGGGTAAACTTATATCTTTAAATACGAGAGGCATCAGCAACTTTTGAAAAAGACGGACGATATTTACCTGGCTAAGAAAACGAAAAACCAGAGTTATCAGAGTCTCCTCTAGTAACTCTGAAAAAACAGATACTGTTTTCCTACAGGAAACACATCTCACCCAAGGGAATTGTTTTGCTCTCATGAGGCTAACAATGAGAGAAGCGCGCAAACCTAATCAGGAATAATATTGATTGTACAGTTAATGAATCCATCGTTGACTGTAATGGTAGAATGATTATACTTAAAGTTCTTCCAAGTGGAGAACCTACTCTTCTAATTAATATTTATGTTCCAAATCGGGATATCGAATTGCTCACCTTTTATCGGTCACTTTGCAAACTATTGTGAAAAATAATTTCGACGAAATTGAAAATATTATTTTGGAGGTGACTTCAACTGACCTTTAAATCCAGTCATCATCAAAAGAGGTGGCAACATGTTTCCAAGACAATCTGTAATTAGCATAATAGAACAGTTACAGTCAGAGCTTGATTTATGTGACACTGATTGGGCATAGTGGAGTCCCACGATACGCAGCTTTACTTCGAGTCAATCAAATCTTTTGGTTTTCTCAAGACTGGATTATTGGCTTATTTCTTATTCTTTATCGGATAGCGTTTATAATGTTGACATGATTTCAGCAATAAAAACTGATCATTCTGCGATAACAATGGAGTTTCCAGATGTTGACGACAAAATAAAGGGTCCGGATTTATTTTCGTGGAAATTCTTTCATTCATGTCGCCCTTCACAAGGAATCTTCCCTTCAGTCGACCGTCCAAACTCTTGTATCGCAGTCTGGCTACAACTGATCTGTTGGTGGGTCTTGTTATCCAGCCTCTCATTGCAACTTTCGTGACATCTTTGGTTCACGAACACTGCCGGGGTTATTCAGTTGTCAATACGCAGATACCGCAGCCTACGTATCAAGCATAGCATTATGTGAGGTTTCTTTGCACACATTAGCGGCCATAAGGGTGGACAGACTTCTCACCCTGTTGTTGAGCCTGAGCCACAAAACTGATTGTAACTTTTAAACGCACATGTATAATTGTGGCTACTTTTTTGTTTTTTTCTCTTGTCGCGGCCTGCCTAGACACCATAATCGATAATCGAATAGTGTATTTGAACACCGGCACAAATACCACTTTTCCTGATTATTTCAGTGGACTCGTACACAAAGATTTTTTTCACCCTCAGGGATCATCAGACTCAACTACATGATCATGCTCGACAACCACCAAGCCAACCAAATGCACTGAACATGGCGCGATACAGAAAGGCAGTGCACAATGCAATGTGGTTTCAGTTGACATTTATTGTTTGTTATGCGCCATACTTTATAGTGGAAACGGTGATCGCTCTTAGTAAAACATTTTCATCACAGTTAATTATTCTAGGAAGAGTAACAATCCTCTCAGTTTACGTTAACTCGACGTTAAATCCGTTTCTTTACTGCTGGAAGATTAGTGAAGTAAGACAAGCAGTAATGCAGACAGTCAGGCAAGCACTTTGTTGTCCATGGAATTAGATCGCTCGTAACTACACTCAAATCGGAATATTTTCAAAGCAGAGTCATGCAGTGACGATTATTACCAGCCGTAGAGAACGCTTGTCTGATATGTTATTGGATTGGAAGAAATAAGAAAGGTATTTTGGATGTTTAGTTGAAAACTATTCTATAACAATTATGAATTTTCCTAGAGATGTGAAATACTAATAGTGAAGAATGTGTAGATGAGCGTATAGAATAAAACGGACTATTATGAGTTCTCCTAATCAGAGTCTTTTACTGGATCTTTTTATTTTCCGAAATTGCGAATAACGACTTATCTTCTTCGCTCAACTATAATGAATCTCTATCTGAGAAAAGGGAGTTTCAGAGAAGTTGTAAAATAATTGTTCTTCCCCAGATGTCTGTGCGTTTCACTGTTGATGCTAATTTACCAATCCGGGGTGGCGAATCAAGTTAAACGGATTGAAAAATGCTGCACAACTTTTTTTAATTCCAAATTTAATTCAAAGCTGTCGAAATACGTTTGTATCTGTAACTAAAAAATTAAACTTCACAATAGTTTGATGCATTTGCAGATGTCTCCATTACAATTTTTTTCTTAGACCAAGTAAAGTCGTCATTTTTAACTTTCTATTTCCAGTTGTTTATCATGGCTGATGATGATTCAAGTCTTAACTTCACACATAAATATTGACACTCGATTTTACACACTATTAATGAAAACTCATTTACCCCTGATAAGCGGGAGTCTTTTCGCCCTTTGAAATAACGATACCACAGTTGCCTCTCTATTTGCTTCTTATTGCTGTTTCATGCATGAGGAGTCTGACAAGTTTGAGGGAAAAATCGCTTTTTTGACACAACGGACAATTTAGCAGTTTATGTGATAAAATTATTTCACTCAAAATTCGGAAAAAAAAAGGGAGTGTTCTGAATGAAAACTCTGTAACAACCGGTGAAGATCAATTATATTTCAAGTCCTTTGATAAACTCAGTTAACATATGCAAATGACAAAACATTTTCAAATATATCTAAGCATTATGTTGCAAGGGAAAAAAGATATTACATTTAAAATGTTGTTGACTCCTGAAAATATATAATATATCCAGTTTGACGCTGGTGTATGTTTAAGTTGTCTCAAAATTTGATTAATTACATGGCTATCACTTCCGAGCGACTAATTGTTCCTAAATTTCGCTTCGTTTTTCCTTTGCAGTGTTGTTTTTACAAAGCTTTAATAAAATTTAATGTTTAACCACGATGACAGGTAGCTGAATGTGCTGCTCATTTTGTTTCTCAAAAAACTGACAAGAGAGAGTTTCCTCGTCATATGGTCAAACAAAAGTGCAGCCGGCCGATGTCTTCCTGTTTGCCGAGGGAATTAATTATTTAGTGCTAATTTGAATAAAAAAAACTACAAAGAAAAAGAAAACTATAGAATTATATCGATACCAAATTTCACAATTTGGTGTCGATATACAGGTGGAATACAGACCAAAACAATTCTAGAACTGCTCTGCTCCTCCTCTTTGAGTGTGCTTCAACAACATGGATCGGCAATTCCTTTCTCTGCGGACAACATTAAAGGTAATGTATCCACGAGTTGTTCACAGTTTCCTTTGATTTCCCTACTGAGAGATGACCAACAGCCGGGAAATTAGAGAGGTTAGCATGTTCACAGTTTTCTTTGAAACTTAAGGTGGGAGAGAAGGGTCTCCTCTGATCACCCTGGTATGAAAAATATTTAAGGTGAAGATTCCAAATTTTGTCCGTGAACTGACTAAATATATCTTGTAACTTGAACCAAGAGAGAATTCCGTGAGCTTCATCTGTGAAATCTACACCTTCGATCGCTGTACAGACCAATTGAGACTTTACAGAGGACATATATCATTGTAGCTCTAGTTTGGGCTCAAACCAGTATCGCTAAATTATGCTATAATTTAGATTACCGTGTCACTCTTTGGTGTGGATATATAGGTACACCATTCTCTCTAGTTATGTATATCGCCTCGTACACAATGATTTTCCGCGCTCTCAGTCGTCATTAGGCTCAAGTACAAGATCATGTTCAACAACAGCCGAGCTAAACAAATGTTCTGAAGATGGCGCCATACAGAAAGGCAGTGCACAGTGCACTGCGGGTGCAGCTAGCATTAATTGCTTGTTATGCGCCATTTTTTGGTAGTGGTAATAGTTGTATCGCTTTTACTTTGACTCGCTTTTACTCTAACACATCTACAGCGACTCAAATTATAGGCAGAGGAATTGCTTCTTTTTTCATTATCTTTAATTCGACGTTAAACCCGTTTCTTTACTGCCTGAAAATTAGTAGAGTAAGACAAGTGGAGAGGAAGACAATCAGAGAAGCACTTTGCTGTGCATGAGACTGGAAATAGTTTTACGTGATTGCACAAGAGGCTGTCATGCTTTCAAAAGTCTAGTGCACTTAATTGAATCACTGCTAACAACTGAAGAAAAGTTAGAAACAACTTTAGCAGGGGAACATCATCTCAACAACAGTTTTAGGTAATAACATTTTCAGATGATAAACACCCTCCTCTCTTCAAAGAAAGTTTGCCGAAAAAAGCATTTTCCCCGTGGGAAGGAATATTTCTATCGTGCATGATGTTGGAAAATAAAACTTTTAGATCGATGGAGGGGCCTTTTAGAGTATATAGACGAAAGGATTTGTCAAAGCATTACCTGTTTCAAAGAAATTGTTAAGAAGTTACATTCAATAACGTGTAATTTTACGAACCGCCACGTGTAAGAAGTTGACATCTCTTGTGAGAAAATAGACATTTTGTATTTACATTTTTAATAGAGCTTTAGCAACGACGACGGCGACGGTAACGAAAACGTCGTGTCGAAATCTAACTTTTCGTTTTTGTAACTCTTTCGAGGTTATTCCCATGTGTTTCACTTGGAAAATGCTGACGAACTATTCAGGGACTATATCACTACGAACGGCGTTTAAGTAAGGAGAAAGAAAGAAAAATTAACCGTCATGCGCTCACGTTCTCGAGAAAACCTAAAGTTTGGTTATTTCACGTTGCTGTTTTGCCAAGAACGGCAAAGAAATGTACCAAAATGTTAAACGCACGTGCAGGGCGATTGTTTTTGCTCATTAAGCCTATTGTTTTCTGCCGTTCTCGTTGACGTCGCCGTCGTCGTTGCTAAAGCTCCCTAATGAGCGAATGTTACTGAGGAAGTTTATGTGTAAATGTTATCATGAAAGTGAAGGTTATGTGACAGTGGCCTGGCAGGTGATGTGTAGAAAAAAAAAATCTCGTCCTTGTAGTTACAAATCATCATAAGAAAAAAAAAATCTCGTTACATGCGATTACGAATGATCACGAGAAAAAACGAAACGAATATTTACTAAGTAACGAAGTGATGGGGGATATGATTAATCTGATAAAAGTAAATTTTAGGGGATGAAGGGCAGGAAAGGACTCTCAAGACTAAATTTTTCCATTGAAATTACATTTGACCTGAGAGAAAAAAAAAAACAAAAAATCAATGAAGACTAATGGCGACAACAAATCTAACCGGTGGTAAAGTTAGAGCACAAACATTATTTTAAAGATCTTCAGTGATCCCCTTCTTTGGATAATAGGAAATAGCAGTAGGCTTAGTTCGCTTTAACTCGACGTTAAATCCGTTTCTTTACTGCTGGAAGATTAGCGAAGTCCGATATGTTATTACGGAAAAGTTTGTAAACCCCTCGCCGGCGACTTTGGCGCAAACTTTTCTCGTGTTCTCCCAACATCCCGCGTGGGTTATCAGCTGGTAAACCTATAGAAAGTGCGGTTTACTCATCAACTGTACTCTCATATTTACTCCTATTAGTAGTATGGATAAAAATTTAAAGAGTAATTGAGAAGAGTTGTTAGAGGTATTTGCATTCGATAAAACAATTTCCACTCTTTTCCCCAGCTAATTAAAAGAAAGCCCTTGGCTTGACGCCATATTGCCGCACGAGCTGATAAAATGCGCAAAAAAATAGTTCAAGAGAGTTGTTCGAGGTATTTTTGTTAAACGAAAAGAAATCAAAACTTTTTGCTTTCTAGAGGAAAGCGCTTGGCGTTGACACTATATTGCAAAGCGAGCTGGTTGAGTTTTAGTCTCGAATTTCTTTGATTATTTGTCCAATATGTGTATAAATATATATATATATATATATTGTGGGAGGAAAAAGACAAGTAAACTACAAGTTCATCCCTACAAGCCTGTTTCGTGGTCGCCCACTCATCAGGGGATTTACAATTTACAACAATTTATCACTTATAGAGAGCTATTTACAATGACAGATCAACAGCGCTTTACAATCAATCCTAACCCGCCCATCCCACCCCAGGGGGGTGGGATGGGCGGGTTAGGATCATCCATCACACAGTAATCTCGTGCGTGGGAAATTAACGTCTCCTACCCCTAACCCTGTAGGAGACGGGACCTCCATTTATTCGTCCCTATCCGAGAAGACTAGAATATCTAACCATTTCTTGATGTTATAGAAAGGTAGCATATTCTTCTCAATTATTTTAAGACCTTGAGTGTTGGTCCGGCCGGGGCTCGAACCCTCGACCTCCCGCACAACAGTCCAGCGCTCTATCCATTGAGCTAACCGGGAGGCGGTTATGAAGAACTTTGCTCCGTAATCCAC